GGAAACAGAACATTACTTTTCGTAGCACTATCCTGGCAGGAAACTCAGTGATGTCTTGGCAGCAAACAACTGCTTTTCATGCCACTATCCCCACTGGAAAAACAGCCACGACTCGGTTTGTTGGTCTCGCACAGTGGTCTCCAGCTTGGCAGGTGTCTGGCCTGTGACATGCTATCCACCATCCCCTCCACCTTTAGAAACATTGATATACAAAGAGGTAAATCACTTTCATATCTTTTGGGGGTGCCCCTCGGTCACACCTTTTTGGACTAAAAGTCTTGGCATTCTTGATTTTTTTAACAAAATAACCTTTAATTGTTGAACTGATGTGCCTGCTTAGATCGGATGAACTCCAATGGAGGGAAAAGGATAAATATCTGCTGAGAAATATTACTGATGGCATGTAAGAAATACCTAGTATTGATAAATGGATTGACTTGGTATTTAATATTCATGTAATGGAGAGACTGACTTTTAGTTTGAAAACCCAGAAGGAAATTTTTCAGAACCTGATGAAATGGTTAGTGTATTTCTCAAACATTAGACCTGATTTTGTCTGAATAAGTACTAGAAACACATTGCGGTGTGATTAGTAGCTGCCCACTGTCTCTGTGTACATCTTAATTAAACATCCTGGTTAGGACAATCTATTTGTTATTTAGTCTCTATCATTATTTTATGTTATGATTTTTATTTATGTTATTACTCAGGAAACTTTTTATTATATATTTTATTATTATTTATTTTATTATTTTTATTTTGTTACATTTAAAACCCAACCCCATTTTTTCTTTTTTTAAATTTTATTTCATTATTTTATTTTTTTTTTTTTGCTTGAAAAGAGAATTACAAAAAAATAAATAAAAAGAAAGAAACAATATGATATGTATAAAATCTGCAAATCTGTTCATGTTCTTGCAGAAATTTACAGTGCCAACATTTTGTTCTGCACGCTTGGCTCCCATCTTTTATTTTATGTCAATTGTAATTTGCATTATTTCATTTTCTTAACATATTTGTCATTGCCATGTGTGCCAGTACCATATTTATTTCAGATCTGATTTCACTCTGTTATCAGCATTGTTATTTATTTATTTTCACAGCATGACCTTAATATTGTATACAGTCAAGTGACACTCACACATTTGTATTTTTGTGTCATTTTTAGCGATGACTTGGTAAGAAAATTTAACATTTACTCATTCTGCGAACCATCTAGTGCTGCTGCATGTGGCACAGATATTTGCAGTTGATTCTAGTGTGAACATTGTAGCCATATAACCCCCATTACATGTCAAAGATGAACTAGCTTTAGCTTTCAAACTTTGTACATAAAGTCATTCATTTCTGAGTCATTAAACATTGTTTTTCCCAGGCGTGTAAGTTGTGGACGTTCCCTGGATGACATATCAAGTTGAAGAGTATTGACCAATCATTATATCTTCACCCAATACTACAGAAAACCTGAGTTTATGTAGTTAGTAAGCATGTGAGTCATTGTAATTGGTGGCCCACACCCATGGAAATGACATCATGTACTCATACTGTCATGTTAGGCCGGTGACACACCATCAGGATTTACTCATAGAAAGGAGAAAACAGCAGAAGACAGCAATTATGTGGTAGACTGAAACCTCAACCTGTCAGAAAGACTTGGAAAGCCAATGCCTTTATCTCACATTAAGTTGGACGGCTCTGTCTTTGATAATCCACTGGGTGGCTACGCATGGAGACAGACGCCGTACAGTGTCGTGTATTATATTCGCACAGCTTCAAACAATTAGAATAACCTTGTGATTGTGTGCTGTAACGCCCCGAAGATACAGCGCTTAGGCATTGCTGATTTCAAATGAAGGCAAAAAGCCCTTTTGCAGCTGAGCTCATCCCTGACATTTTCCCTGCTTTTTACATTTATCAGTGACAGACAACAACCTCATCAGCCCGCATGCTACTCCAACACACTCCATTAAGGTGCCTGGAATAAGGGTGCATTTCCATAAAATATTCTTTGTCAGAATCAGAAAATGGGCAAATTATCTGAACACTAAAACACCCCAGCGCACCGTAGATCCCAAAGCAGACAGAAATGACCTCATTTAGGCTGTCTAAGCACAAGAAAGTGTCTCGCTGGCTCGAGATCTGAGTGGCACAGATAGATCAACACTGCCACTTCTCTCACATCACCTGGATGAGCACTTTACATTTGTAAATCAATGAGGAGGGTAACCACATGTAGAAGAGCTGGGAGGGATTCCTGTCTGCCTTGGCACAGATTTTTTGAGAACCAAATTACCTCTATTACAGCTCTCAGTTGGAGACTGCATTCTAGGATCAATCTGTCGGAGAAGGGTGCTTTAGCGTTGATGGATATGACATGTGACCAACAACAATGTTGATTTTTTTTAATCTCCTGGATAATGGGCAGATTTAGTACGGATTTGCCTGGAGCAGTAGATCTGGTTACGACCGCTGCTTTGTTTCACGCAGCTCACTTTATGGCTTCATTACAACAATCGCAAATCTGCGGACACCTCAACAGCCCGTATCACCATAAATCACACGCCGAGATAATGACAGCTGAGTGTTCCTGCAAAGATGACACCTTTTACTACAACTGGAGTGCAAAGGCGTAGTTGAGATATAGGTACATCAAACGTACAGTAGATACACATCAAGGCCAATCTCTGCGCTCTATAAGTAGACGTATAATCAAAATGTATTTGGAAAGTAACAATCTTGTAAAACATAATTGCAAGTAAGAAATATCAAGTGCTCGTAAAGTAAACAGTGCAAACAAAGCCATTATTGATAGGTCTCTCTTTTTTCCATCACTGTGAGCTTTTACATTGTAATCGCAGCCTGATAAAGCAACCACACACACATAAAAGATAATAATCGCTCTGTGACTTATGTCTGGCATGGGGTTGAACATTATAGCAGCTTCCCCTTATTGACACAGCTGTTACCCAAACTATAGACTTGCCACTGCAGACGACGGCATGTCTTTATATTGTGCCACACACCCACTAATGACAGCTTTAGTGGTGGTAATTCAGTAGGGTTGAATATGGGGTTAGGTGTGTGTGAGTCACGTCCTGGGCTCCCCTCCCACCCACCTACCCCTCACCAGATGTCCTGCCAGGTTTCCTGCAGTGTTTCACTCGTTCTCTGAGGATCCAAGTATCTCTCAAGAATCTAAAATGGCTGCTTTAGGGTCTTGACCAGAAAACGGAGAAGTACGGGATGTTGTTTTTAATGTGGTCCGTCATACCTTTCGCATTTCTTAAATAGTTCGGCGCCTGTGTTTTGTGTGTTTGAGTGCAGCTAGCCGCTAATGTGGACGTGCATTTGGAAACCATCTATTCGGCAAACCAGGGAAAGCACAAGTGTGTGGCGGTGGAATGAGCAGCAGCCTTTATTAAGGAATGGAAAATGTCTCTTTATAATCTTAAGTAAAGTGTAATGTAATGTCTTATTTTGTAAGACCATCACTTGATTCCTTAACCCCTGAAGTTATATAGAGAAGTTCATATGCGTAGATTTCAGGGGTGACGCAGGGGACATGTCCCGCTCAATATTTAGAATGTGCATTACCCCCGGTAAAAAGTTTTGTTTTGACAACATTAAAGACATTTCCACCATGAACTGATGCAGAAAAAGCAGAAATTTGTGCATTAAAATTCACCAGAAGGCAGGAAATGAAGTGTTCGGCGTTCTGAATTTTCTGACCCCTGTTTCATACGTGTTCCCCTCGATTTTAAAACAAAATCTACGCCCTTGGTAAAGTTTTTGCCTCTGCTGCTTTGCCATGCTGTCTTTGCAATTTCAGCTGCGGGCCAATTTTTATTTGGATGCCATGTAAAACCCCTGATTTATAACTGTGCCAAATTGGGTGCTACACCTCGTTTAAACTCCATGTACTCTCAAGACTCACCAGACTAATAATTTGGTTAATAGGAGTCCTATTAAATCCAAAAATCATATTAAGGAGCTTTGTATCCACATAATTTTACTGTCTATTTTAATTATATTTAAATTATTAAATCTGAAAGTTTACCATTATGCCATGGTTTGGTGTGTACTTCAGTTCTGCGGAGCTCGGTGCACCCCTGAACACTTTCAGGTCTTGATGGACAAAGTGAATATTCACTTTAATACTCTTGCATACTCTAATAACCCCATGTTCCTCCTCTCCTCTGTGTCAAATCTCCACAGTGAAGGAGGGAAGGGAGGGAGTGAAGGAGGGGAGGGAGGGAGGGAGGGAGAGCTGGGTGGGTGGGAGGGTTGGTAATTCATGCACACATGTGCCTGCCTGTTCCTCCAGTGACAGGGCCAGGGGGAGGGGCACATGATAAATTGCCTTCCACCGGGACCCTCCGAGCACAGCCACCATGATGTGGGTAGAAATGGAAATTGCTCCCTTTCACCGTCATTACATCAGTTTAGGACGCGTGTGGGCCTTATACACACTATGAGAGGAGTTTGTTTCGTCTGAATAACCGCTGTGCGATAGACAAGGGGCGGCATAGCGCAGGAGGCATCCTGCATAAATGATAGTAACTGATGGGTCAACAGTGCGCCTAAAAAACAAAGTTAATGGTTAAAAGAGTCGACGACAGCAATTATATATACATGTAAAATATATAGGCCGTTTTAATTGCTGTAATGATTTAAATACATGCACTATGGATAATTAATAAGACTGTGGGAACTCAATTATCTCCCCGTGCGCCGATTTGGATTTGTCAAGTTTTAGTATATTCAAAGACAGAAGAGCAGAAATCTGCAGCTGTTTTTGCTTCTGAGTGTCATAAATAAAATCAGCTGTACATTGCCGTTATCTGTGCAAGAAAACAAACAAACAAAAAATAAATAAATAAAAAATGCTCATGTGGGATGTTAATATAATTTTCAAAAGCATAAATATGGCTTCAAAATGCGCCTGGTCAAATTCAAACCACGATCTGTGAGCGTCTGTATCTGCATAAAAATCCCACAACTTTGCACAAGATCTTTTTTTTAATAACAAATGTAGTGCTGTGTACATTAGATTTACAGGTGGATGAGATTATCAAATGCAGATTAAATAAGAGCATCCTGGTGATGATGAAAAATAAAATTTTCTATATAAACCAGTGAATGGCCTCCACCGAAATATCACCCTAGTGCAGCCTATAGCTTTATTATAAATAAAAAAATAAAAGACACACCGGTCGAAGACGCTTGTAAAAAAAATTCCATAGTGCATTAAAACCGAAAGTAAATTATTCAGGTCAATGTGCGTCTTTCTGTTAAGGTTGTAAATTTGATTTTTTTTTTCTTTTTGTTGTTGACATTTTAATTTTACCAATTTAAAACACATATCTGTGCTTATGATTAAAAAAAATAGAGAAAGCCAGCTGTCCTTGTGCAACTTTTTCTCTTGCGCAATTCACAAATTTTACTTTTTACGCACGCAAAGTAGCAACACCTGCCAAATCAGATCTCAAACAACTTACTGACAAAATTCACCCACCAGAAAACTAAATTCTCTCACACGAATTCACTTTATAAAGCTTGTTTAACTCACACACACACTCTCTCTTTCTCACACACTCACACACACAACCACTCTCATCCAAGTTGCATTTAATTTAAACTTTATAACACGTGTGCTCTGATAAAGCTTCTCAGTTATTTGGTATATAAACTAATAAAGAGAAAAAGAAAGAAAGATGCACATTATGTCAGCACATCGTCAAACTGACTTCTTATAAGACTGCAATGAATTGAAAAAGTATGACAGCCTGGAAAATCTATAGGCCTGTGTTGCGTAAATGACCCATGAGGTTTTCGTAACCCCATTAATTTAACACACCGATTTTTAAAAACTGTCAGTGGACTATAAATCCAACTGAGTGATGTTCAGAAAATGAGGCACACGGAGATATGGAACAGAATTGTTTCTTATTTTTTCCAGAATACATACAAAAAAATACCAATTCTCTTTCCAAGGTGTTACACCTGAAAAATAACGGCAATTTAAAATGTGGACAATTTCTGAAATTTAAGAAACAAACATGCATGTAAATTATTTTTCTTCTCAATGAGACATTAAATAAGAACAAATACAATCATAGCAATTTTCAAATTAACATCGAAATGAGGACCCCTACTTTAATTAGTACTCTAACATGTGTGTGTTTTCATTTTTACCTATAGAGTTCAGTTTCAACATAATGCACTTTTTGAGTTGCTCAAATATTTTCCATTTGCAGCTATTATCGCCTGCTTTTAAGCCGACATATAAATAAATACAGTTGAAGTCCACGGATCCCGCCCATAAGTTTAGCACTGTTATTATAAAAGTCTTTATATTTGCATTCTTAGTACTATAAACTTTTCAAAGTCTCTTTTTTCCTCACTGGTATCCAAGCGCTGATGCTGTGGTGAGTCTCTGGCCATACAGTGCATAAGGAGAGTAGTAAGGGCCGGTGGCAGCGGGGACGGGAACAGGGGCACCGGGGGTTGGCAGGGGACTTTTGGAGTACGGATGGTAGCGGCTGCTGAGTCCTAACGCGTGATGCGGGCTCCGTAGAGCCAAAGTTCCGGGGCTCCCGGGGGCACCTGAAGGTGGCATGTGCATATGGCAGGCCATGGCCGCTGCTGCAGCGCTGGCCAGTGATGAAGACCCGGGATAACCAGATATCAACTTCTCCGCCCCGGTAAAAGCAGTGTGAGTCCTCAGGTGATTCAGGAGCTCTTCTGATGAGGAGAAACGCTTGTCGCACGGTCCATTTGCCGACACCCAATTACAAACATGGGGGAGAGGGTCGTTGGGGAGCATGAAACCGTATGGGTACAGGGGGTGTCCGCTAAATGATGGCGCCGAGGAATGGACGCCATGCATGGGGTGTGTCGGGTACATTAGTGGGTAGCTGGATTTGAGGGCGTTAGCGGCCGCTGCTGCAGCTGCAGAGTCGTGCGTGCAGGACGCACTGGCTGCGCCCGCTAAGTGACTGGCACAATGGTAACTGAGGCAGTAAGGGTCTCTGCACAGGCTGGCTGACATGATGGACGGTGGAGAGGCTCCAGCCAGAGGGCTGGATCCAGCCTTACTGCAGCCCAGTGAACTGGCCAACTGTGCGTTTACCAAGCTCCCTCCGTGGGGCAGGAAGTGTTGAGGGTAACCAGCATAGGCCCCAGCCAAGCTACCTGGGTAGGTCATACCGGCAGGAGGCAAAGGGAAAACTGTCTGCCCCGGTTTGTAAGGAGAAACCGGCGCCACAAGTCCTGACCCGAGAACGGATGCGGAGGATACAGAAGTTACAGATGAGGACTCCGAGGAGGAGGTGGTTTTAGTGCCAGGCGTCGTCTCCTGGTGTTGGTTGACCTCCACGTTAATTCCACCACAACTCACGCTTATCCTGCTGTGGCTAGTGGTGCCAGACCCGTCCGTAGTGCCATTTTTATTACAATCAGACTCTTTCTTGTCATCCCTTTCCCCACATTTCCCCTCTGATGGCATGGGGGAGGCAGAAGTGCTGGAGTTGGGGCTGCCTGTCCGCGGCGTAAACGGCTGGCAGGTGGCGCTCGGCACTCGGAAACCAGACTTCTCTCCGCTTGAGACGCCCGAAGACGAGTCCTTCTTATCTGAAGGCTTAGAATAAGGTTTGAAGCTAGATTTGTCATCCACACCGATGTCACTCAATTTCAAAGGACCAGATTTAGATTCCTTCTCACTAGATCCATTTGATGTGACGGAGGATAATTTGGAGGTGGGTGGCGGGTCCGGTTTGCCGATCTGAGAGCAGGTCTGCGCCAGCAGAGCCAACGGACTTTTCTTGGCATCTAGCTGCAAAACAGATGACATAGATGTTGATAAATGCTCTTAAAACGCACATCGACTGCTTTCTTTTATGCTAATAAAATAAACACCCCGGGGTAAAGCCCTTTAATCGGGATATTTACTGACATTTCCAAACGGAAACGTATGTGCGGTAATTACGCACGGCTCTTCTGTGAGCAAAACGACAATCGTGTTCATTATTAACAATAAACTGAGCTGCCTTTTACTAAATATAACTATTTCCAACACCAGGATCACATTTGACAGAATATATTACGGGGCAACAGCAGTGAGATCACAAAACGTTGTCACGCAAGCACAAATATCTAACATTATAATTATACAGATATTAAGTAATAAACATGTTATTCTTACCTCTATGGGACTAATCGGGGTAGAAGGCAAAGGCTGCAGATACTCCGGGTGCAAAATGTGTCCCGACCGTGCGGTAAGCATTTTCAAAACCTTGATGGGAAGTCGGTTAGCTTGCCGTAGTGGATCAGACGGGGGTGCGGAGTGGAGAAAAGGCTTGTTGTTGCTCGCTGAGCTGCTATTCCGAGAACTGCTGCTTTCCCAGGCTACACAAATATCACTATTTTTCAGGGCAGACGCCGAGGGCGACGTGATCATGTCCCAATTGTCAGGAAATGAAACGGCGATGCTTTCGTCAGATTCATTAAGAAAAATCAAAAAAGCATCGAGCCTCTTTCTCTGTGGGGGAAGAAAAAAAAAATCAGGATCGTAAAACGGTTCAATAATAAAGTAATCCTGGTTGTAAAAGAAGAAGCAAGGCGAGGCAGCTGGAAGGAAGGAGACCGTGCGAGGTTATCGCAGATCCGCGTCTGCGTCTTGCACCATGAGCGCTGCGCCTTGAGTGCGTCTGTCTGCAGGTCCTCGCTCTGTACTCCCGAAGTACGAACTGGTAGAAATTTTCACTTCAAAAGCAGCTGAATTAGTCCGAGATTAAAGCCTTTGCCGCCTTCCAATCAAATGGGACCCTGAGGTGATTGGAGGGTCAAGGGGATGTGACGTTCTCCTCTTTGTAAGCGCCTCTATTTCGACAGCTCGGGGGAGGAGATAGGCTTAAATATCTTGGTTACTGGGAACGCTTGCGCTAGTTTAGATGTGGGGCTACGGGCTGTGTGTGCACCAGGATACAGAGAAGTGTGCGAATAACACAATAGATGGATAATATTTACATAATTAAAATGATAAAAACACAAATTACGCACGTTTGACGTCCTTTTTCGCCCTTTATGAAGGATGAAATTAAGTTTTGTGTTAAATAAAGCTGTACTCTGTGTATTCACATTGTTGCAGGGCAGATATAAATCATGTTTTCATACTTAACACATTGATTTCCATCTTAGTCTTATATTCAAAGAATTTAAGTTATGATGGCACAATCTGTTGTTGATTTCTTTGGAAACTGGCACATATAACCAACCTTTTCTCTGCTACAATATAATAAAAATGGCCAAGGAAACGCTCACAGTGAAGTTTATAAGTCGTAATATGTAAGTAATATGTTATGCAGAAGTCATCTGATAGCAGAACAAGTGTTTTATTTGTCATTCTCCACCGGGCTTTAACCCGAGAGGCGCGCACAGTGTGCGCAATGGCACTTTTCCTCCACCGGCAAACATAAAACCAACCATTTCAGCTTGAATTCCCTAAACAGACAAGCGTTGACAGGAATAGACCAATGTAGTGATGGAGGGATGTGAATGTCACATGTTTTCAGTATAATATACACCGCCCTTCTATTTCTATCTCCACCCCTCCGTCAAGTGTCAATTCTGCTCCACCGCAATCAATCAGTTATTTGTCAGACGCTGTCAATCCGGCGCTTGATTTATGTCAGCTATTGTGGCTGATTACATGCCAGTGTGACTGCGGGAAAAGAACAAATGGGGAGAGAGACATTCTTGCAAGAGACACCAAGTTTTCACGGGAAATAAATCGATCCTCCAGTTAAGATTATTTTTTTAAAGATGCGTCGACAATAGCCGGACAATATGAGGCAGGAAAAAACAGCTGAGGAATAAACTACATTTCCATTCTGTTCGTTATCCAACAAAGTCTGCAACTTTTGGAGTTCTCCATCAAACACCTCGGAGGTGGCACACATGATGAAACTTTAATAAGTTGCAGACAGTCCGGCTCACATGTATGAAGCAGCTGTTGGGGCTTTAAGGTGCTTTTGCTACAGTGTTAACAAGAAGCCTCGGGAAAATTTCACAAATGGAAAACTGCAAAATAAAAAATAAATATCCTATCATTAATAAAATAAAACAGTTAAAATTCCAAATTAATCATTTATATTTTTACATTTCTCAGTTATATTTAACGCAGCCTCTTCCTCTCGAAACAAGTTAGTTGAAGCAATTCAGAAATTATAATGTGTAACAAGCCTCTCCAGACAGAGCCCTGTCCATTTTGGGGGCTAAACGCATCTGCTATTGTGCTGTTAAAACCTGTCATCCGCCTCGGGCACACTGTCATCTGCAACAAGAATAACAAAGCCACGGGAACAAAAAAAAAAAGAAAGAAATCCAGACATTTTTATATTGATGTCAGCTCGATTTTATTTACATACAATGAAAATGATTTATTTCCTTTAAGAGGTGGAAAAAGCGGACAGGGAGAGAGAAAGGAAGAGAAATGGTCTGTCAGTGTCAGGGCCGCGGAGAAAAGAAGTTTCAAATGCCTTGAACTATTCACCGCTGAGATGGCTAATCAGTATTGAGGCTCCGGGGCAATCGGGCAGCTTTTCAATGCGGTTTGCCTTTCATCTCAATCGGGATGGAGGCGCTCAATTAAAAGCCTATCAGTTTGTAAGTAAATCAACGCCTATCAAAGTTGTCACATCAAACAAAACGATTATTATTGCAACCCGCCTCTGCCATTAATCTCTTTCTGTGGTAATCTGCTTGACAGGTCAACTTGGAGAGCAAGAAAACCTGGAGTGGACAGTCAAGGGGCAAAAAATATATGTGTATAGAAACAAAAATGTAGAAACAAGAGTTCACAATCTGCAGAAAATACAATGTAACATAAAGGGCGCAGGGAATAAAATACAATTTTACGCACATGGTAAAAATCTGCTGTAATAATTTGGAAAAAAAGATTACAGGCCTGCTTTGTAAACTATCTATAAATAAATAAAAACAAGCAATAATTGCCTCTCTATGAGTGCATGCCATAATTTTAGGCTCATGCGTAATATAAATAAACACCAGCTCCAAACTTCTTTTTCATTTCAATGTGAGACTCTAAAAAGAAAAGTCTAAATGCTCTCAGCTCCTTTTTCACTGTTTTTGTCTGGCAGCAAAAAAAAAAAAAAAAAAGAAAAAAGAAAAAGAAAAAGAAAGGAGGGGACGTTTCACAATATGCAAAGATGTGTGATTGATAACAGGCTTGCTGTTTTCTGCAAGGGCTGTCAGTCCGTGACACAATATGTGAGTTATTAGGGCAAAGAAGGGCAACCATAAATTTTCACTGTCAGGCGAAAACCCTCTTTATTGTCCGTATGACGAATGGGCTCCTGCACCAGACACCAAAATACTCGGCATTCCCCTTAAATGGGAACACATTTTTGCGACTATAATTCACGATATTTAAATAGAAAGTTTTAATACCCCCCCCCCCGTATATTTCATAACACAGACATGTTTATGAATCACTCCCCGCATGCAAATACAACTGTTTACATCTCGTGTGGAAATGTGTTGGACTTGCAGGGTTTACTGGGAGCTATGTGCTGGGGCCGACGAGGAGGAACACATTTTAGTGTTGATTTATATAAATATATATCCAAATAAAATAAAAATGACCCATGAAACAACTTTCCTAATTGCACCTTCAAATTTTACACATATTTATAATTTAAAAAGCACTTTTTTCACAAGCTCTGACTGTTTTGGAGCTCTTCACAAACTTAAAAATATTATTATAATTATTTTACCTCAGTCCGTTTCCACTGTAATCATTACTTTGCGGCTTTTTAAAGAAACGCATGTAATATTTAAATATCACTAACAGATAAAATAGGATACAGGCAGCCCCTAAAAAAGCGCATGCATGAAGTAGAAAAGATTTTTCTTAAACTCCAAGGAGGAATGACAGCTTTACAGCAAAGTCCGTGACACGACATTACCTGGAATCATTTCCTACTAAGCTCCGATGTAAAACGTCAGAGAGGTAAAAGGATTAAAAAAAAAATAACACTAACATTGAGACGTAGTCCTTCTGTCTAAAACGAAACTGCTTTGCTTTACACAAACACACCAGCCATTGCTTTCTGTAAAATGTTGAAACACCGCAAAGAGCCCAGTGGAGACTGAAGCCATGCTCGCTCTTTCCCTCTCCGGGCAGGCAGCAGGCAGGCAGGCAGCAGCAGCAGCAGCAGCAGCAGGGGGAAAGGGAGCTTTTCCGCGTATGGGAGGTCCCGCGTGACGTCACACAGCATGCAGTGAAGCACAGGAAGAGTGTGGTGTTCCCAAAGTTTCTGATTGTCTCAATAAAGTGACATTGTGACGCTGAAAATATGCAGGTTTGCACCCAAACGTCACTAAAACCTAACCTCACATTAGCTCAGCTTCAATTAGAGGAGGATAAACAGCAGTGAGCTAAGTTGCTTAGTGTTGCAATGTCTGCTTGTATGCTGTCAGAGCACAGTGGCACATTGTATCATGATTCAGTGAGTGAATAAATTAAATATAGTTTGGTTAGTCTTAATTTTGTTGTTCAAAATAATAAGTTATTATTGTGTCAACATAAAAAGCTTTCATCCACATCCACGTCGTCAAACATAGGCCACATTCTCACTCCGACCTTGTCACATATCGACGTTTGGTCATGGACTTTGATTTTCCTGACCTAACCTGACCCGAGACAGTTATAACCTGACCCAAGACAGTTATAACCGAGCCTGGCCCGACCCTGATGGACTTTCTGATTTTTAAGTCCAAACTGGGTCCGACCCGAGCCCAACACAGTTTGTTACCTGACATAGTTTTTTTTTTTTTTTTCTAATATACTTTATTAATGCCCCTGAGGGGAAATTCAACTATTTCACACTTTTTTTGTCATTAACACACATGTCCGAAAGACACACACATGCACAAAGTGGAGAGATGTCAGAGTAAGGGGGCTGCCCTTTGGTCAGGCGCCCTGAACGGTTGGGGGGTTCAGTGCCTTGCTCAAGGGCACATCGGCAGTGCCCAGAAGGTGAACTGGCACCTCTCCAGCCACTAGTCCACACTCCATATTTGGTCCGGACGGGGACTTGAAAAGGCGACCCTCCGGTTCCCAACCCAAGTCCCTATGGACTGAGCTACTGCTACTATTACTGTAGAGTTAATAGACACACTCCATGGCCTAACCTTGACGACTAAATCGAAATGGCTCCATACCACCGATTTCCCCACATGGTTTTCGCCAGTTTTAAACTTTCCTGATAGCAAATTTTGTCTAGCGTCCTCCATTTTCATTAGTTCAGTGTGAATATTTACCGCCCCCTGCCTGAAATGTCACTATTGGCCTGTATTGCGTTCAGGCGTTGTCATGTAAATAACAAATTCCAGCTCTTGAATAGGCCATAGCACAACACAGCAGCATGTCAAGTGGGCCGAACTCGAACCAAACTCGTGCAAAATTCCTGGTTTGTTATCCGAACCCAGCCCGACCCATCGGGCTCCGACGGGTGCCATCGGGCTCGGGTCAGGTATCCACACCCTACTTTCCATGTCCACATACGATGTGAAAGGTACACTGGGTGCATTGTATGTTGATGTTCTGGGACACCAACCATCAACTTCTGCCTGTTACATGCATTGTCGTCTTTCAAAATACACTTCAGTTTTCACAGGAGATGTACACTTTACATACAGTGTCTTTCAAAATAAAAGCGCTACGTCAGTACAACACTGTGAATTGAGTTTTTTTTCCCTTCAACAACAAATGCATGTGGTTGGGTTT